TGCCAGACATATGAACACAGGAGGACAATCTTGGCACAAGAGAAGCGAGCACTCCGTAAAGCCAGAGCTGCAAATGCTGAAGCAACAGTGTCCACATTTCTCTGTTCAGTATGTGGCAGAACATTCCGTGCTAACATCGGTCTCATCAGCCATCTACGGACACACCGTTGATGGCCCACAATCCACAAGATGTCAAGGTGTTCATCGAAAATCGATGGACGAACAACAACATTTGAAGTTACAGTGGTGCTAAACAACTAGTTATTTTTCAAAGTTACAGCCACTTTAGCACTCCGCGATCAAAATTCAGATGCTTGGCTGCCTGTCTGCATTTGCAATTCCAGCATGCATTTCAACACCCCCCTCAGCCTACCTCTCTCCCCCATCCCCTTTGGCCACCCTGCTTTCTGTGACCCCCCCTGCCACTCCTGCTCCCCCCACCTGACCTTTGCCATCTTTTTCTTTCTGCTGTCACAGAGTGCCTTTGCTCTTTGCTATTGTGTGCATCCCTAAATAGCAAAAAACTAAGCCCAGACCATCAGTAATCAAGACCTTTTATGTGCATATCCAGGTCTGATTTTTTGTTATCAACTATGGATATCTGAAATTAGAATTATGCAAAGTTATTCTGCCATTCCAGCATTGCTCTGATAAAAAAAAAACACCCTTATTTTAACAGATAGAAAGTTAGGGGTTTTTCCCCATTTGTTATTCTAATGTAGTTGTTTTCTTGCATTCTGAGGATTCCTTCTTTCCTAGTAAGTATTTAAAAAAATAATATGCCTGGCAATATTACCGTCATAAGATACCCTGAGAAAAATGTGGTATCTCAAGAGTGCCATAATTTTTTTAAATATAAAATTAATACCCCCACTTCAAAGTACATTTATTAGTGCAATAGCTGTATAGTTTGGGTTTGTAAAACAGGTCACCGTAGTCATATTTGTGTTTGATTAACTTTTATTTTAAATTATTTGCCTTAAGGTATACCACATTGTCATATAGAGCTCCTGAAATGATCAATCTTTATGGAGGGAAAACAATTACAACCAAGGCAGATATCTGGGTAAGATAAACTGTTTTGTAAGAATTAATAAGAAAGGTGCTGACTAGATCAGTATTTCCAAGGAATCCAAAAGTAGCCAGGTTTATTGTAATCTTTCTTAATTTCAGTGAGTCTACTGCATATAAGTGTCTGAATTCAACTCATATCTATACAATTTATAAAAAAATGAAATGGGTGATGTTTTTAATCTGCTAAATTCAATGTAGAACTTAATTCGAAAAGAATCACATTTATTTTGGGGTTTTTTTTGTTCTAGTGCAGTGATGGTGAACCTTTTAGAGACTGAGTGCCCAAACTGCAACCCAAAACCCACTTATGCATCGTCAAGTGCCGGGTGGGTGTGGCCCTTTGGGTGGGCATGGCTGCAGTAGTAACGGCAGACTGGGTGGGACTAAAAAGTTCAATCAATCAATTCCAACTTTGCAAGAACTTTTTTTTCCCCGCGAGAAGTTGAAATTGACTGATTGAACCTTTTTTTTTTTTTGCACATGGCGGTGGAGGCCTAAAGTGAAAAGGTTTTATAAAATCCAGCTAAAGGCCTAGGACTGGGGCGACGACGCGCGTACCCACAGAGAGGGCTCTGAGTACCGCCTCTGGCACCCCGTGCCGTAGGTTCACCACCATTGTTCTAGTGACTAAAGTTATAGATACAATTGATTGGATTTCATCCATTACATTTGGAAACCATTTACCACAAAAGCACTTTTACTAGGACAACTGTATTGTGAAGGTGTGGAGGTGAAATAAATGATCATCAGAAAAATTTTCATAATGCCACAAGCAGCAAAAAAATAAAAAAAGTATTTTTAAAATGAGCAGTGCAAATTTGGTAGAATTATAGTTTAGGAATGTTGCTGCTAAATAGTACTAAATGATCTAAATTACGGTTTTATTATAACTAGCAATTGTTCAAACAATATGAAATTGTGGTAACAAAACTTATTGCAACTTTTAAAATAAGGGTCTGCTGTTTTTATAGTTCAGTTACTACTATAACGATGTGCTTTTTTTTTAAACAGGCCCTTGGCTGCTTGCTGTATAAACTTTGTTTTTTCACACTTCCCTTTGGTGAGAGTCAAGTTGCTATTTGTGATGGAAGCTTCACCATCCCAGACAATTCGCGTTATTCTCACAGTGTGCATTGTTTGATAAGTAAGTAACTGGTACGCTTTACTAACTAAAATGTTTTATGTGAAACTAAAATTGCTACATATAGGCATAACCAAAACTGATTTCCTTGGTTATTGCATATTTTCATTACACACTTATTTCCAATGTAGCCAAGGAAATAATATATATTGTAATATTATAAAAATATTGGAGTAAATACTATTATTTATGAATTGGAATAATATTTTGAAAAATGAGTTTTATGTACATTTTAGGAGGGTATTTTTCCCCACCAAAAATACATTATCTTTTTTTGATTACAATTGATACATAGGGGAGATTACAATTGATACATAGGGGGTTATTTTTATAAAAAAATCAAGACTTGCTCTTTCCTGTCTTTATTATTAACTACTTTATATTGTCTTATTTTATATGTATGTATGTATGTATGTATGTATGTATGTATGTATGTATGTATGTATGTATGTTCCAATATTCTGAGATACAGTTCAGGTATATACTGGAATATGTTTGTATATATGGAGTGTGTGTGTGTGTATTGATAGAGAAATGGATGGATGGATGGATGGATGGATAGATATAGAGATAGAGATAGAGATAGAGAGATAGAGAGATAGAGATAGAAAGATATAGAGATATAGATATAGTTGTAATAGTGAAGCAGATGGTTCTGAAAAACAGAATAGGAAGAGAAAAGTATCCAGTTTCCTTTCTTCAGCATTTCTGTGGAGGGGGTGCTAAACTTAAGATGTGCTTTTATTTATATTCAGGATACTTATTCAAAGCTAGCAGGTCTTATTATATCAGTCTGTTTCCCAACTTCCTGCTCTACCCCCTTCATTCTTATCTTTACATGAGCATTCTAAGTTGTTATACTTAGATTTCAGCAGCTATTTGTGTATAATCAGACTTCTGATTCCTATTAATACCTTCTTTTCTCTTTCCCCGCTCCTTTTCTAGGGAAAGTTATTGTTGCAAATATAAATAGAATTTTTTTATTTTACAGATTTGTAATTTTAGCTATGTTGGAATAGGAGCATTCTTTTGGTTCTCTAAATTTATTTTGACCTTTTCGGACAGCATTGCTAATTCTGAACAACAGTTTAGTTAGTGTAATCTTTTGTGTGTCATTGATATCCACCCATAAAATAATGTTTAGGAAGTTCTCAGGTCCTTATCAAGCCATTTTTCTTTTTTTTAAAAAAAATGCCATTAATTTATAAATTAAAAAAATACAAATGTATGAAAAGTGATACTTCATTTTTTTGTAGGCTCACTTTGCTTTCAAACTAAAAAAAATATTCACCTACTAGAGTGCTTATACAGGAAATGATGCTAAAATTTTTGATTGTCTGTAGCTTAATCCTTAATCCAGTAAAGATGAGACTCTTTTCAGAATCTAAAAAATAATAGGGTTAAGAAGTAAAGATTCTCAGGGAAAATTGCTTTATTATCATGCAGTCATCAAATGTACATTGTGATAATTTTCCAGGTAGAATTGATGTGGAGTTTTATTTGCCTGAGAATGATACAATAGGAAATATGGCATTCAAGAATACCTAGACCTGGTAGTTTAAGGGTATGGGAAGTTAAAATTGGCCTGAAAGATAATTTACAGTGGTGCAAAATGATGATTAAGATATTTTTTTAAAGCAGTTTAGAATAATTTAGCTGTTATGTTATGAAGGCATGAAATTAGCCAAATCTAATTTAAAAAGAAAAAAACCCTGTAGCTTTGTTGCTAGATAAAACAGGTACAAAGTTCATAGTGTGATTTATGGATGGATGTAAGAATATTCCATAACATAATGTAATGACAATTAAGAGGAATTAATCCAGTCACTCTATTCTCTAACAGCCATACCTGACTCTTGTATGTAGAAAATAATGTAATCAGAACTCCGAGGTAATTATAAAATCACTTTATTCACTCTTAATAAACTCGGTTGCCTTAATGACTTCTTACCTTTAGGTTAATAATTTAATTTGCTGTCATCAACAGGATACATGCTTGAACCAGATCAAGAGCGACGGCCTGATATCTTTCAAGTATCTTACTTTGCCTTTAAACTTGCCAAAAAGGATTGTCCAATTTTAAACATGAATGTAAGTAGATCTGTATTTGAGCCTGTTTTGACAACAGTATAAATCTTGTTTAGAATAATAAGTAGGAGTGGCAATCAGGTTTACTCCTAAAAAATATTAATTCATCTTTCCCTGTTGGAGAAAAAAACCCATATCTTTTAACAAATTTAGTATTGACAAGAGCTTATTTTTAAAAGTTAATAAGGTAATGTATGCTTTGTATCGATCATAGCAGATATGATATGCATTTTTAATGCCCTTGACATATTACTTCCTGGCCTCATTTCCAAGATATGCTAGTGTCCTTAAATAATTGACCAAGTTAAGAGCTATTCACCTGGCCTCGTTTCTTACAACAAAGTTAAAAACAAAGTTAAAAATGCAGAATACAGGTGGTCTTTGAATTACAACGGTAAATTGGGACTAGAATTTCTGTCACTAAGCAATGGGATCATAAAGCCACCTCCATTGTCCTGCACTCTGCAAGCCCTATTGCTCTCCGGTGACCTTCACCATCTCCTTTCCACCGTTGACGAGGTGTATCTGGCCTCTCCTTGTGCGAGGCAGCTGGTAACCACACCAAGACGTCTTCCCAAATCTGCTTGTGCTGTTCTTCAAATAGTGCATACTGTTCTTGGTGATACTTCAGAAGGTTCCTGAGACCTCCTAAAACCTCCTGCACCCACAATTCTCTACAGATTGCCCAGGCCAGTTCTTAACAATGCTTCGAAAGGCCGCGGAAAGTTTGTGAAAGCTTTCCAAAGCATCATGAGAACGGCGTGTGCAATTTTGGAAAACAGCGGGCGTGGCCTTCTCACAATCCCTTGGAAAGCCTCAAAAGGTTTGCTGAAGGTTTTTTCAAAACATTGCAAATGGCACGTGTTATTTGGAGAACAGTGAAAGCAGCTTTGGAAAGAAAGCGTGGCATGACCCAAAGCAATGGAAGGAAGCTGGGGAAGGTCAGCTAGGCATAGCAGAACCTGTGGAGTAAAGAGCAGTGGGGATGGCTGGGGATTTTCACTATGCTGTATAGCAGGGGTCTTCCAACTTGGCCCTTTTATGACTTGTGGACTTCAACTCCCAGAATTCCTCTCGGATACCTAGGATTTCTGAAAATAAATGGATGTGAATATTACAATCAATGGAGTATTTTTGTTCGTAATGTCACCAATTTTATCCTCTTCCAGGATACATATGAACGGATTATACCCTATATGGGCTTTTTTGTTTACCGTTGGTATGCAATATGATTATGTTCAAGCTGGTATGATATAGAACTTTTCTGTTGCTATCTTTATTTCCCAGAAAAGCTATTAATAACACACGCTTACTTATTTTTCCAAGAATTCTCCTCTCCCTTCAACTCTTCCTGAGCCCTTGACAGCTAGTGAGGCTGCTGCTAAGAAAAGCCAAATAAAAGCTAGGTGAGTGCAATAATTTTATTAATAATTCAGTGCACTTTTTGGCATACTATTCATCTTGAAGAGCTTTGTTCTGTGGCCACAGATATTCCCTCCTGAACCCAATTTCCCCTGGTAGAGCTGTGAGTCCAGGGAAGCTCCTAGTCCCACATAGAACGTTGTTCTATTGAAAATCAGAATTGGTACAAGACCATGGTCAGCCAGCTGCTGAATTAATAACCACTTGCTCTTGGCTTGGGTTGAATCCACGTTGGTTTCTCCACATATAATCCTTTCGGACTTCCACTGCATTTGCCATTTCCCACTGGCTTCATGCAGATTTCAAATGGGATGAAGGGAAAGCTGAACCCTAGAATTCCCCATAATGAATTGAACCCCTCTCCTCTACAACTATTGATGGACAGAACCTGCCCACTCAGGAACAGTGTTGTCATTGTGCAGTACTTTTAGTCCTTGTAGGTGGTGCTGAAGGATAGTGTAGCTAACAGTGCCAAAGGTTGCTAAAAGATCCAATAAAATGAGGGTGGCCATGCTCCCTCTATCTTGGCTTGAATCTACGCTATGATAGCTCTGGATAATATGCTTCTTCCAGAATGTTTTTGTTGTTCCACTGCTTTCTTTTTTTATATTAATTATATTAAAAAAAATTAAAGAGCAGATTAAAATCAACAAAAACGATATAAAGGAAGGGAAAAAAGGGAAAAGAAAAAAAGAAAAAGGTGCAGGAAAAAAGCTAAATAGAAATAGAAGAAGAGAATATTTTTTAGCTAGGGGTTGAAGTACAGGGTTCTTCAGCTTTTTATATCTTTTAGATAATATCAAGGACAGGTCTAGGCTGTAAGCAGGTCTCTTTGTCAAGGATATTCACTTGTTGTACCAAGCTTCGCCACAAGATGTCCCTGATAGCATTTAGAATCCTTTTCAGAAGAGCTAGGTTTTTATCCAATTTAAGTTCTTTTTAATCTTATTTACAGGTAGATAAAATAGCAGGTCCCCATAAAGGTAGGAATTTTTTGGGTCTCCAAACATCAAGAAAATGCAAATCCAGTTACTTAGTTATTCTTTTCAGGGCTTAATTTCCCCAAGTAGTCAGGCGCTGCCATTTTAGAGGGTGGGACAGAAATGTTCCCTTCCCTCTCTCAGGGGGAAGAAGTTTCAAAAAGCTTTTCCCAGGAAAATACTTGAGATACAAAGAAGGTAAAATTTCACCCAGTTACTCCACAATGCTTTCGAAGTGCTTGGTAGTAATTTTGGCCTCGGCTGGTAACGACATTAGTGATGGGCCACATTAATGGTCGATCTTTTCCCTGTCAGTTTGAAGAGCTGCCCCAGATCAAACGGGAGGGCTGCTGCCCTTCCACGATCAGTGGGAGGTCCTCCAGGGTGACTTTCGACGCTTTTCAGGGTCCCCCAGCGGGAGAAAACCAGATGGCGGAGAGAGCAATCACCCTGAACATCCGCAGGCGCCGCGATCGCAAACCAGAAGCCGAAGCGCAGGGTTCTTGATGCTCTTTGAGCTTGGCTGTTCTCTTGCAGACTTTTCATTGCCAAACTAAGTAACCTTATCAGTGCTAGAAGGGAGTGGGGTTTTGCTCTCATGAAGCTTCCAATTTTCTTTCCATTCATAGACGTGTGATTGCAAACTTATCTTTTACTTTGTGGTTATAGAAAAAAAAGCTCACTTTATCTTATTTTTTCCCTAATCATCAAAACCACAAATCGTTTGCATTTTTTTCTGTGCCATGCAAATAGCCTACAAGGGGATTTTCAGACGGCCATAAATGTACATAACATTTTTTTTCTGTAGTCAAGGAAAAGCCAACTTAGCCTTTTCTGCAAGTTCCATCCTCTTCGCAATCATTCCTCCTTTGTGGGTAGTGTTTAATCTTTCCACTTTAGAGCATATGGTAATCTCACCGCAGTAGTCAAATATGCTGCTGCACCACTTTATCTTCAACATGAAAGTTGGAAATAGCATGAACTATTAATATCCATCAGCATGCCCAATATTAAGATCTCTTAACCTCTTTTAAGACTGCTGGAATTCATCCCTCTCACAGAGAGACATTAACAATTCCTTGAATCCAACTCTCCAATCCATTTTTTTTGGGGGGGGGGCTGTTTATCCTGGCAGGAGAGGGAAGATATCAAACCTACAAATGGGAGAGCTAAAACCGCAAGAAAGCCTATCCCTTTTTTTTTGTGAGATCCACTGATTTTAGAACTTTCCAGATAACATTACCAAATTCTTCTGTCATTTGATGAACTGTTGGCTGCCAAGCTTCCAGCTCCGAGTGAATATGAGTGATTTTATTTACAAAACTGCTACTCACTAAAGTAGGAGTCACGAGTGAACGTGAGTGATTTTATTGACAAAATTGCTACTCGCTAAAGTAGGAGTCATGATTTCAGCCAGCAAACATTCTGCAGATGCAATAGGGGAAGAAAATAAATTCTACTTCACTGCCCTTAACGTTGCAGAGTAGTAGTCTTTTATTTAAATGCATCCCTGTGTCCAGTCATATTCTGTCCTCATCTGTCAGCACAGTGTTGCTCCAGGCATCTTGGAGCTCAGAATGAAGGAGCTGTTCTGGATTGGTGCATGAGGAGAGGCTGCTCTGGAGCAACCCAGTCTAGATCCCTGTTCAGCTCTATGGCAGGGGTAGGCAACCTCAGCTCTTTTATGACTCATGGACTTCAACTCCCAGAATTCCTGAGTCAGCATAGCTGACTCAGGAATTCTGGGAGTTGAAGTCCATGAGTCATAAAAGAGCCGAGGTTGCCTACCCCTGCAATGGAGGCTGTGAGATCACATGCCACCTGTACTGAGCTGAAGACCGGGTCTAACATGTGCCCAACTCTGTGGGTTGAAGCAGTAACGATCTTGGACTTTGCTTATCATGGAGGCTATGAATTCCCAAACCACTTTGAATCCCAATGAGAAGAAGTTAAAATTACCTAGAACTAACAGCATATCTGTGATGAGATCAAGCAACTTGGGAGGGGGACTGCTGTGCAGCTGCGAGGACTACGTAGTAACAACACACTCCAATTTGTCCCTCTGGCCCAATTACGCAGATACGGCTTCACATCCAGTCACATGAAGAACAGAGCTCCAGTCCCACCTCTACAGGTTGAGAGAGATGATTTATTTAGTTGTTTACCGAATGGGCTTATAAGTCTTCCAATTGAACCAACTCTGAGCAGCAGACAGTTCCCTAACTTGGATTAAAAGCAGACTGGATAACAAGGCAAAATAAATACAATACCATCGACAGCAATCAAACCGAAAACTAAACACCACAAACAGGACAAAGATAGTCCTTGTTTGATGACCACTCGCTCAGCCACCGTTTAGAATTATGGCGGCGCTAAGCAAATTTACAATTGGTCACCTGAGCACTCCCCACAGTCACGTGATTGTAAGAGCCGTGGTGGCGCAGTGGTTGGAATGCAGTATTGCAGGCTGATTCTGCTGATGGCCGACTGCCAGCAGTTTGGCAGTTCGATCCTGACCGGCTCAATCTTCCATCCTTGACTCAATCTTCCATCCTTCCGAGGTCGGTAAAATGAGGACCCAGATTGTTGTGGGGGGCAAGATGCTGACTCTGTAAACTGATTAGAGAGGGCTGTAAAGCTCTGTGAAGCGGTATATAAGTCTAAGTGCTATTCCTGGGCACTTGACAAGCAGCATGATGGTTGGAAGATCCCCTGGTGATAGGATCATCAGAGGAGTGATTAGTGTCTGGCTTTTCCCTAAGCCAGGGGTAGGCAACCTTGGCGCTTTTATGACTCGTGGACTTCAACTCCCAGAATCCGTGAGCCAGCATGGCTCAGCTTGGAAACTCTCCCTTCACCTCAGCATGGCTGGCTCAGGAATTCTGGGAGTTGAAGTCCACGAGTCATAAAAGAGCCAAGGTTGCCTACCCCTGCCCTAAGCAAAATCAATAGGGGAGCTAGCAGGAAAGGTCGCAAGTCACTCCACTAAGTCAGGGCTTTTCAACCTTTTCACCCATTGTGCCACTTTTAGGATATGGCAACATCCGAGTACCACCAGTCGCCTAGCAAGGTGGAAAAACTTGATGACCAAAAAAAAAATAAAAAAAAAAATGAAAAAAGTGATGAAGTACAGGTAGTCCTTGACTTACAACAGTTCGCTTAGTGACTGTTCGAAGTTACAATGGCACTGAAAAAAGTGCCCCCCAAGCCACAGCCGAGCAAGACACCTGCCTGCCCGCCCGGCAGTGCTCTTCCTCCTGTCCGAGGTTTTCATTGTTGTGAGCATTTCTGTTGAGGATTGGCAGTGGGGGTGGGGTGGGGGGTGTTTGGTTTTTATTCCCCCCCCCCCGTCTGCTGGGTGGTTGCAGCAGGTTTTGGTCACTTCACATGACCCTGGGACACTGTGACCGTCGTAAATATGAATCAGTTGCCAAGCATCTGAATGTAAATCACAAGATGCTAGAGATGCTGCAACATTCCAGCTGATCGGCGCTTCTTCTGCGCTCAGCAGAAGCACCAGGATCAGTGCTGCTTTCCAGCTGATTGGTGCTTTTCCAGGGCTCAGCAGAAGCACCAGGATCACCGCCGAGCTCCAGCTGGAGCCTGGCACTGATCCTGGCGCTTCCGCTGAGCCCTGACAGCCCTGCAGCTTCAGCCATCTCTTGCTCAGGCTTGTGCAGTGCTGCCACCGGTTCAGCTCATTCCCCTCCCCCACTACCACTATTCTAGGATGGTCACGTACCACCTGCCAGGTGCCAATGTACCACAGGTGGTACCCGTACCACTGGTTGAAAAACCCTGCACTAAGTCACTCGCACCACGGCCTTCCCCAGCCGGAAGCAGCTACCCCTGGCCCCATCACGCTGCCCCTTACCTGCCTGCTGACGTGCTTGCAAGCCACCGTGGCCTCTTTGCCTGCCATCCTCGCTTAATGATGGCAGCGGAGACTGCTGCGATTGCTGTCAATTATGCGATGAGATTGTGTGACCTCACACTTTACGAATGCATTGCGTCATGACAGAAATCCCAATCCCAATTATCGTAGTTAAATCGGCGGTATACACTCGGATTCAAAGAACTCATCCTGCAGAGGCTTAGTCACCACAGCCCTGCTTGCAAAGCTTGTTGGAACAAGCCAAATGTTGATAGACTTTCTGAAATTCAGGAGAGAAGGGGCCAGTTTAAGTTCTGGGAATATTATTTTGTTATGGGGGAGAACATGGCCAGCCAGTACCCAGCTTTGAACCATTATCTGAAATCCAGTCGAACCAACCTCATTGATGAGAACTCCCATCAGGCTCATCCAGACAGGTCTCAAAGATGAAGACCATAGTCAAGGTTTAGATTTATTGCACATACAAGTTACCTGAGGTGCCCAGGAATCTGATACTTGTCTTAAACTGAGATTGAGAAGTCAAATTCCCCAACTCTCTTCTGCTAGAACAGTAGTGGTGAACCTATGGCACGTGTGCCGGAGGCGGCACTCAGAGCCCTCTCTGTGGGCACACATGCTGTCGCCCCAGACTCACCTTCCCCCGTGGCCCCCTCCTCACCAGCAGGCCCCTGGAGGAGAGTTGCCCCCGGGCACAGCCCGTGCGGAGCAGCGCAGTCAAGGACATGGCAGCTGGGCAGCGGGGACAAGACTCCGCCCTCGCAACCCGTCGCGCACTGATTATGCTGCACGGCACGGGTGGAGGGTGTGGCTGCCACGGCGCTGCTGGGCTGCCTGGACGATCTGCGGCGGGCCATGGAGGCGGTGGGTGGCCCTGCAGAGGGGGGCGGGTGGGGGTGGGGCGGGCAGAGTGGGGGGGGCGGGGTGGTTTTTGGGCACTTGGTCTCTAAAAGGTTCGCCATCACTCTGCTAGAACAATTCACTTCTGCCCTATTTCCCTCTGCCTTTCGTTGTTGTTCTCTTGCATATACACAAGAGAAAGTGCTGAACATAAGACAAGCATTGTCCATTTAAAGAGAATAATCCAGAATATTTATAAGATCAAGTATTTGCTCTTGAACGGTTTCTATTAATAATCTGTTTTTGCATTTTTTCCTGCAATGGTTTATTTTAGCAAAAACTCTGCATATTTTCAGGGTACATTTGAAGATGAACTAAGTGGCACAATGTGGATCTCAAGTCATTACTGCATGTTTCTTTCAGAGAAAATGTTATGCAGGCGCCCTCTTGTGATAAAAGGGAATAATAAACATATACAATGTATATATATATGTATACACACACACCCTTAAATACACACCTGTATGCATGCACACAGACACGCTGCCTCCCAATGCACAATTTTAAAGGCGCAGAAAAAAATATAAAGAGGTTTATGTTTCACATAATTTAATTAAATTAACCTGAGATGTTTCTAACTTGTGCTTTTTATGGGTTTTTTTCACATATAAGGACTAATAGTAGAAGCCAGAACACTTTTCTCTTTTAAAACTTTTTCAAATTGTTCAGAGTAAAAAGCTCAAGGTGTTTTTTTTAGAAAACCAAGAGTGCTCTTTGTCTCTTACTATGTTTCTTAACCAGACATGATACATATTAATATGGTGTTGAAAAAGGGTGATTGTTGTTAGTTGCGAAGTCGTGTCCAGCCCATCGCGACCCCATGGGCAACGTTCCTCCAGGCCTTCCTGTCCTCTACCATCTTCTGGAGTCCATTTAAGTTCACGCCTGCTGCTTCAGTGACTCCATCCAGCCACCTCATTCTCCGTCGTCCCCTTCTTCTCTTGCCCTCCATCTTTCCCAGCATTAGGCTCTTCTCCAGTGAGTCCTTCCTTCTCATTAGGTGGCCAAAGTATTCTAGGATGGAACTAAGCCACCTCTGCCTCGGGACCAATTATAGTTTTTGGGAAGCCCTGTGTTCAGCATATCAGAGTAGTCCAAATCAGATCCAACTGCTGATTTTAGTGCCTCACATTTCTGGCCTTTCGGAATAGCCTTCAAATCGGGCTCTGCTAGATGATCTGTGACCCCAAAAGGGGCTGCCTATGCAGGGAGCGGCTGATGAGTTGGACAAAAGATCCCCACCCCCATGTTGCCTTGGTTTTTTTAGTCTTCATTTAATCTTTCTTTATAATAATAATAATAATAATAATAATAATAAAGTTGGAAGGGACCTTGGAGGTCATCAAGTCCATCCCCCTGCTCGGGCAGGAAACCCTATACCATTTCGGACAAATGGCTGTCCAGTCTCTTCTTAAAAACTTCCAGTGTTGGAGCATTCACCGCTTCTGGAGGCAGGTTGTTCCACTGGTTAATTGTTCTTTATTTGTAATTGTTTTGTATTATCTTTTTTTTTAATGCTGTAAGCCTCCCAAAGTTGCTATAACTGTGAGATGGGTTGGCATATAAAATTTATAAATAAATAAATAAAAATTAGAGACACTGATTTGGGCAGCTGTCAATAATCTTTGTGAAATTCCTAGACACCTTTACCACCCAGATTATTCTGTAAATTGGTTTTTTTAAAAAAGGATTATAATAAAATTCCTTCTTAATTTTCTTTCATTAGAATAACAGATGCCATTGGACCAACAGAAACCTCAATAGCACCGCGTCAGAGACCAAAGGCCAATACAAGCACTGCCACTTCTAGTGTACTTACAATTCAGAGCGCAGCCACACCGGTAAAAGTGCCAGTTCCTGGGGATTTTAACAATGAACACAAAGGTAATTTCTCAGACTAATGCAGTGAGCTGCAAGAAGCTTCTTTTGGTGACAAGTAGAAATCGTTGTTTCTTTATTCCAGAATTAGAAGGCACCAGCAGTTGTAATTGTGTAAGAATCGAGCAATTGTGGATTTCCCTTATACTCAAATGGCTTTTAGCACAGTATGAGGAGAATTGCTTCCACGTAGTTGTGAAAACATGTTATTGTTTGCAAGAGCAATGCATCTCGTTGAAAATTTCTTCGTGGCAAAAAGTTCACTCGTCCCGAAATATTATTAATAAATAATAAACTATTTTATTAAAAATATTTGATTATAAAATGATTAATAAACATGTTACATTTCAAATAATATTGTGGATTTCTTAATGCGCAACAACAGGATTACATTTACAGGAAACATTCAATATTCTGTATTAGGATGTAAAATTTACTGGGGTAGGATAGTTTAAAATTGTACCTGTACCCCAAAATATAAATGATTTGTTAGTGTCTGTCAGGACTTTGCTGAAGGGGAAATAAACGAACCAAAGCATGCAAAAGATTCTGTAGAAAAGTACAAGCGGGAAAGGTTTGTCAGGGCTTTTCAACCAGTGGTACGGGTACCACCTGTGGTACATTGGCACCTGGCAGGTGGTACGCGACCATCCTAGAAAAGTAGCGGGGGAGGGGAATGAGCTGAACCGGTGGCAGCACCGCACAAGCCTGAGCGAGAGACGGCTGGAGCTGCAGGGCTGTCAGGGCTCAGCGGAAGCGCCAGGATCAGCACCAGGCTCCAGCTGGAGCTCAGCGGTGATCCTGGCGCTTCTGCTGAGCCCAGAAGAAGCGCCGATCAGCTGGAATGTTGCAGCATCTCCAGGGTCTTGTGATTTACATTCAGATGCTTGGCAACTGATTCATATTTATGACGGTCACAGTGTCCCAGGGTCATGTGAAGTGACCAAAACCTGCTGCAACCACCGAGCAGACGGGGGGAATAAAAACCAAACACCCCCCCCACCCCCGCTGCCAATCCACAACAGAAATGCTCACAACAATGGAAACCTCGGACAGGAGGAAGAACGCCGCCGGGCGGGCAGGCAGGCAGGTGTCTTGCTCGGCTGTGCCTTGGGGGGCACTTTTTTCAGTGCCGTTGTAACTTTGAACAGTCACTAACCGAACTGTTGTAAGTCGAGGACTACCTGTACTTTATAAGTTTTTGACCCCTTGCTAGGCGACTGGTGGTACTCGGATGTTGCCATATCCTAAAAGTGGTACAATGGGTGAAAATGTTGAAAAGCCCTGGGTTTGTTATTCCTGTGCTAAGATTATTGTGGAGTTTGGGAGTGGGTAGGAGTTGGAGTTGCCAGGAAAACACACATTAAATACATTCATTAATGTGCATTTTAAAATGTTCTAGGAGCCTCAAAGGTTGGAAATGGTCAGGAGAGTGTATTATCGCCAGGAACCCCACAGCAGAACAGAGTATTGCAACAACTACAGCAAGGTGACTGGAGGCTACAGCAGTTGCATCATTTACATCAGCAACAGCAACAACAACAATTGCTCCATGATTCATACGTGCAGCAGGTACCTTTGTGGTTTAGCTGGGATGTAATCCTGCTTCAATTTTGCCCCTTCTACTTTCTTTAAAACTTAAATCTTATAACCCAGTGATGGCGAACCTTTTAGAGACCGAGTGCCCAAAAACTGGCTCCGCCCCCACTCTACCCCCCGGCCCCACCCCGCCTGCCTGCAGGGCCACTCACTGCCTCCAGGGCCCACCACAGATCGCCCAGGCAGCCCAGCAGCGCCATGGCGGCCACGCCCTCTGCCCGTGCCCCGCAGCATCAACTGTGCCCGATGAGGCGTGAGGACAGAGTCTTGTCTACGCTGCCTGGCTGCCATGTCCTTGGCTGTGCTGCTCCGCGTGGGCCACGCTCGGGGGCGACTCTCCTCCAGGGGGGCTGTTGGTGAGGAGGGGGTCGCGGAGGGAGGCAAGGCTGGGGCAACGGCACGTGTGCCCACAAAGAGGGCTCCGAGTGCCGCCTCTGGCACGTGTACCATAGGTTCGCCACCACTGTTGTAACCTGTCTTTTTCACCATTTTGCAGAATGCCTTTTGATTCGTAATGCTCTGAATTGCTATTTTTTCTAGCATTTTTATATAAGGTACAGAGTGGAGAGAATGTGAAACTCAGAGTAGGAACACCCCTACCCCCAAACTAGCTTACCTTGAGACTGTTTTGTTCAGAATAAAGACTAAGCAATTACTAGAAAATTCCTCTGTGGCTTCCCCTGAATTTTTTTTTTTCCGAGTTGCCAAATACAGTTTTGTTTGTGGGCAATTTCACTTGATTGAGCAGCATTTGTGATTTATGCAAATATTTTCTTTTTCAGTTACAGTATCAGCAAGCAATGCAGCAGCATGCCGTTCAACAGCAGCTTTTGATACGCTCTGTGTACCAGCAGCAACCACCCCCTCCTCCGTATCCTGCTATGGTAAATCAGTAAATCAAATAAAACCCTTCTAGCTAAGAAAGGGAAGCTTGGGCTGTAAAATAGTTTGATTGTGCTGGTTAACTTCATTCTAATTTACTGGGCTTTACTTAACAAACATTTTGTAAAACCATTTATTGTTCACTATAGCAAACCAATGAGTGGAGAGTGAATTTGACAGTATTATGTAAATAAATGAAACTCAGAATATATACACCTGGTACCTCTTCTGGTACCTTATTTTTCTGTGCTGCCATTTTTTTATCTTGGCTTATGAAACAGTGAATATGTGTAAAGAAAATGACACATCTTCAGTTTTTAATTCCTTCCATAGAGAAGAGCCACAAAGATGATCAGGGGACTGGAGGCTAAAACATATAAGGAACGGTTGCTGGAATTGGGCATGTCTAGTTTAATGAAGAGAAGGACTAGGGCAGTGATGGCGAACCTTTTAGAGACCGAGTGCCCCAAAACCGCCCCCGCCTCCTCGCCCACCCCCCGCTCTGCGCACCGCCCACCCGCATGGCCACCCACTGCCTCCACGGCCCACTGCAGCAGATCGCCCAGGCAGCCCAGCAGTGCCATGGCGGCCACGCCCTCCGCCCTGTCATCTGCATGTGGCAGGGCCCGAGGGCAGAGTCTTGTCCTCGCTGCCTGGCTGCCATGCCCTTGGCTGTGCTGCTCTGCGCGGACCGCGCTCGGGGCGACTCTCCGGGGGGGCTGCTGGTGAGAAGGGGGCTGCAGGGGGAAGCGGGGCTGGGGCGATGGTGCACGTGCCCACAGAGAGGGCTCTGAGTGTTACCTCTGGCACACATGCCATAGGTTCGCCATCATTGGACTAGGGGGTGATATGATAGCAGCGTTCCAATATCTCAGGGGTTGCCCCAAAGAAGAGAGAATCAAGCTATTCTCCAAAGCGCCTGAAGGCAGGACAAGAAGCAACGGATGGAAACTAATCAAGGAGAGAAGCAACCTAGAACTAAGGAGAAACTTCCTGACAGTGAGAACAATTAAGTAGTGGAACAACCTGCCTCCAGAAGTGGTGAATGCTCCAACACTGGAAGTTTTTAAGAAGAGACTGGACAGCCATTTGTCCGAAATGGTATAGGGTTTCCTGCCTGAGCAGGGGGTTGGATTAGATGACCTGCAAGTTCCCTTCCAACTTTCTATTACTACTACTACTACTACTACTACTACTACTACTACTACTACTACTACTACTACTACTATTATTATTATTATTATTATTATTATTATTATTACCCATAATATTTAATTATAGAAGAAAACATTTTCTTCCTGAAAAACAAATTGTCTGCAAGAGGTTTTTGGTCAAAATAAATACACATAATCCTCATCTTAAAATCATAATTGAACTTGGAAATATGGTTGCAGGTCATTGCAGTTGTAAGTCATGTGACAGGACCTGTCTTTTTGGCACTTTTTGCCCTGGTCGTTAAGTGAATCCAATGGGCATTTTTTTTGCTGGAAACCAGAAGTAAATATTGGAAACAGGAAAAAAAAAACGCATCCAAAAAATTTGTTCAATATTGTAAGCTTTTGGTGAAGATTTTCCTTCCCCTCTCCCTCAAGAATATCCTGCTACATCATTTTATGTTCATCATAACGTGGAGCTAGATGAACGGATGGCATAATTTAATGGTGCTAATAATGTAACTATTAATTAACTGGTTTCTTTTCCTCCCATTTAACTGCTTAATGCCAGTATAAATTGCTGGCATTATTGCTTAATGCCAGTATAAATTCCAGAGGCGTGTGTTGTTGTGTCAATTTAGTTAAGATGTTCATTTTCTGTAGAAGGTATGGTGGGGGTTATTTGTTTTAAGACTTACATGAGGTAGAGTTTTTGCACTTCTGACTTTCTTCTCCTTCTCCTTTGAGATGCAGCAGTACCAACAAGCTCTTCTACAGCAACAGGTCCTTGGGAATCAGTTGCCACCACCGAAACGTTCTCCTGAATTTCTTACCTCTCCTCAGGAGTTTTCGCCAGCCTTAATCTCTCATTCTAAATCCTTCCCAGCTCATGTTGGTGCAGCTTTGGATGCTCCTTATTCCACCAACAGGCAAGCTCCCTCAGCTCATGTTATTAGTAACTGTACTCCAGGAACCACCTCACCCCAATGGGATTGAGCCCGCCCCACTCAAGCCAGCAGAAGGGGCAAACTCTGGATCCCCTTAGCCAGGGGTAGGCAACCTTGGCTCTTTTATGACTCGTGGACTTCAACTCCCAGAATTCCTGAGCCAGCCTGCCTCAGCTTGGCAAACTCTCCCTGTCCCCTCAGCGTGGCTGGCTCAGGAATTCTGGGAGTTGAAGTCCACGAGTCATCAAAGAGCCAAGGTTGCCTACCCCTGCCCTTAGCCAAGGAATTGTGGTTGGCAGGGTCTAGGAAAAGAGCTTTGCTCCCATGGCTTCCAGCCTTTGGAATATCTTGCCCCTGGAGGTGAGACCCACCCCTCTCTTCTTGGCCTTCTGAAAGAGCTTGACAACCTGTCTTTGCCAACTGGCTTGGAGCCTCAATGGGGGCATCCCATTTTGGAGGTGGTTAAAAGATTAGTAGAAGATCCCACTTCCACCCCATCTCAGTATTGGCTCTTTTTATTTGCTTGAGTAATAATTTTAATGTTTTCACTTTTAATGCCCAATGTTTTCATGTTTTAATGCTTTACTGGTCATATTCTCTTATTCATAGCATTGTAGGCCACCCAGAGTTGCTTGATAGTGAGATGGAAGGTGTACAAATTTAGTCAATAAACAAACGATGTAGGCATGTTTTTATGGTTGCATTTCCTCTATGTCAGTGGTGGCGAACCTATGGTACGCGTGCCAGAGGCGGCACTCGGAACCCTCTCTGTGGGCACGTGCCATTGCCCCAGCCTAGCCTCCCCCCATGACCCCCTCACCAGCAGCCCCCCGGCCCACGCGGAGCAGCGCAGCCAAGGACATGGCAGCCAGGCGGTGTAGACAAAACTCTGCCCTCACACCCCATCATGCACAGTTGATGCTGCGGGTCGTGGGCACAGATGTGGCCGCCATGGCGCTGCTAGGCTGCCTGGGCGATCTGTGGCGGGCCCTGGAGGCGGTGAGTGGCCCTGCAGGCAGGCGGGGTGGGGGACAGTGGGGGGGTGGAGTGGGGGGCGGGGCAGGGGGTGGAGTGGGGCGGGGCCACTTTTTGGGCACTCGGTCTCTAAAAGGTTCGCCATCACTGCTCTATGTTATTTATAGGATATCGGTCCATTCTAATGATGTATCTTGACTTTGTTCTAGAACAGTGATGGCGAACCTTTTAGAGACCGAGTGCCCAAACTGCAACCCAAAACCCACTTATGTATTGTCGGGTGCCAGGTGGGTGTGGCCCATTGGGTGGGTGTGGCCCATTGGGTGGGCGTGGCCCATTGGGTGGGCATGGCTTCAGTGGTAACGGCAGATTGGGTGGGACTAAAAAGTTCAGTCAATTCCAACTTTGCAAGATCTTTTTTTTTCCATGAGAAGTTGAAATTGATTGATTGATTGAACCTTTTTTTTTTGTACACGGCGGCAGAGTCCTAAAGCGAAAAGGTTTTATAAAACCCAGCTGAAGGCCTAGCACTGGGGCGACGGTGCGCGTGCCCACAGAGAGGGTTCTGTGTGGCACGTGTGCCATAGGTTCGCCACCACGGTTCTAGAAGAAAACATTTTGTAATACTTCACATTCAGGAGGGTCACGTTCTACATTGTACTGAATGTTCTGCGTGTTCTACATTGTGTTTAAGGACACTGAGTGTGAATTAAAATAATACTAAGAGTACCTGGAGTCATTTTTCTCCTTCGATTCCTACAGATCATCTTCCTCCGACACAGAGTCTGCTTCCAGCTACCCAAAACAAAACATCAGCAATCCCCCGGATATGTCTGGGTGGAACCCCTTTGGAGAAGACAACTTCTCCAACCTGACAGAGGAGGAGCTGCTGGACAGGGAGTTTGACCTTCTGAGATCAAGTAAGGGACGCTTGAAGGCTTATTTTGCTTCACAATAAATAAAAGCTCTTTAGGTACAAATTGACAGTGCTGGAGACTGTTTGGTTCAAGGGCCACCCAGTCTGTTGTAGAGAGAACTCTTTTTTTTGAGCATTTGAGGGCAAACTAGACCTGCTGTGTGACTTGTCCTTCTGTCACAAAAAATGTGTGCAATAGAAATAATTTAACTTTTTTTTGTAAAAAACCACAGAAAATGTCAGGGTCTTATGTTGAATAAATTACTTGAATGTTAAACGCAAATGCAAAAAAAAAAAAAGCTTGTGTAACCCTGCAGAATACCACTGTGCATTGCTTCACTTGGCAGTTTTGTTCTTTTGCACACCGGAAGAGGAGATTCTGTGGGTCTGAAATGCCTTTTGAAAGTGCCTGAAAGAGGGGAAAAATGAACCCAGTACATTATGTTAATGTTTGTAATGTATTTTGAGTAGCTTAATGTTAAAGGCTGCTTTTATTGTTCTAAATAACAATATTTGAATAAAATATCTTCAAGTCAAAAAGCCAGTGTGTTTACTTGAAGTTGCTTCCCCTTACTGTTACGTATATTATGTTCATGTTTATGGAGATGGATTGTGGAGAAGATGCAGGATGCTGTGAAGAATAAAACTGATTCTAAGCTTGGTAAAACCTAACCAAATGTAGTAGATGAAATTAATAACGCAGCTTGCTGTTTTAGTTGAAAGCGTCGCTATTGCGAAAGGCTCGTGGTCCAATTTAGACATAGCATTCCAGAATTTAATACAGTCTTCAACTAGTGTTCTCTCTTACACCTTTCACATGTGAACTAAGATGCTTAAATCTGGGCTTTGTTTGATACGTAGCTAAAATAATGGATAATGTCATTGGTTGTCATTGAAACAACCATCTTATGGGCTGTAGTTTTGATAGGCATATTATTAACATGATGGGCTGACTCCTGAAAGATGTCAGTTAAACTGAATCCTGAAATATTAATAAGTTTAATTCATATTGCCAACTGTCTTTTATTCTCTGTTGAACACTTTGTTAACATATAAAATTTACTGTATTGCTGTATACTTAACCCATGTGACTAAATTCAGGAAGGCTACAGAGAAACTGTTACAGAATCTTTGATAGATGCCAGTATTAAATGAATGTTGAGTTTTACTTGGTTTACCAAACAATTATTTGATTAAAAATGAATCAGTTATAATATCTATTCATCCCAAAGGTGTTTTTTCATGAGGCATTTGGACTTCCTTGTTGCCTCGTGAAAAAGCACCTTTGGAATAATAACTATGACCTGGATGACGGAGAATCTCCATAGACAATACCTATTCATCTTCCACAAAGTTATATTATAAAATCCCAAGGAATAAAATGTTATTCCTTAAACAACTTGCTAAATTGGATAACTTCATACGATAGAATGCACACATGAGGATCAACCATAATAGGATTTTAAATTTCTTTGTGTTTTATGGTTAATTTTTTTCCAAATGTTTTCTTGCAGATTTATTGGGAATTTTTTTAATGTTTTTGCAAAAGTACAAGATGGTCAAACAGAAAGCTTTAAACATTTAGTAATTTATTAGAAACCTATGTATTAAATTGACGGCAGTAGTTTTTTAATTCATAGTTTTGCACTGTTTTGCAGTTTATTTGGAATGTATTTATACTCTGTAAATTTTCAAAATGCTTCCCTTTGAAGGAGCCATCATAAAATATTTGCTTTTCCTCTTCTCTGAATAAATGTTTCAACTTCTTCTCGAATGCTTTTTGTTATGTACTGGAATGTCCATTTCATATCATTGGAAACTTAATAACATTTTGATATCTGTTTTGGAGCTGCTTACCTAAAGAGCATGCAATAAAAATTCAGTATTCCTAATAAAGTATTTAATCACCCTGGAAGAAATGTATGATAAATGTGTAAATAAATATGTAAGAGTCAAAAGGATTTCACAAAATTTCTTGCTTCTAGAATTACTTTCTGGGCTCTACCTATTTATATTAATTGAAGATTATCCCTCAAACTGTATTTCATCCATTGGAAGTTGTGTTGTTGGTAACTGAATTGCAATCCTGATCTGAAGAATTGGATTTAAAATAGACCCAATAGATTTATAGCATTCTTGTTGCACTTTGTACAATTCCAGCAATCTCCAAAGTAAATAACTGATAATGAATATAATATCTGGGTCAATGATGTGGGAAAACCCAGTTTTTTTTCTTCCAAAGTTCTTGTTTTTCCCTTTAGACTTAATTATCTAAATAACGGAAGAAAATGGATTTATTCTATTTTGATAAACAAGTGAACTGAATTTGCTGCTTGGAAATTTTGGATTGTGACCAGTATAAAGATCTGAGGCTTCCTGTAGTTATAGACTTGAAATATATAATCATAACATTTTTCCTTTATTCACTTTGTCAGTGTCTTCCAAACTCACTTTTTGTACCCATACCTTAAATACATCTACTAAGATAAAATTCCAGTATTTTTCCTGTGACATTGTAATGCTAAGGTCTCCAAATTTACTTCTGTATAATTAGTAGTAGATTCAATTAAAAATGCAGAATTAAACAGTCTGGTAGGACATATTGGTTATCCATTCCTGCATTATCCTGAATGAACAAAAGACAATAACGGTCGTTATGATTTAGTTATTATACTGTTACGTTTTTAAAAACTATATGTAGCAGAGAAATATTTCTGTACTGATCAGAAACTCTTGGAATATGCCAATTCTTTTTCAGTTTCCTTTCTTGTAGAAAAGGAGGAATAATACCAAAGGACACTTGAGTATAATTCATTTTTCCAAGACTTGGCTTAGGTAAAAGATGAAATAAAGTCTTGCATGAAGAATACTCATTTGCTGTGATTGAAGTTTGAAAGTTAATCGTTTTATGTTATTCTTTGTAACGTGTATTTTAATTACAATTGTCTTTTGCTTTCTATATCCCTATATGGTGTTGATTCTGTGAATATTTTATTTTTTTTAATTTGTTTGATTCTTGTACAGGCTAGCTGGCCTTGATCCCTGGGGACATTTACCACAGAAAAACTATATTGTTTTAAGTTGCTTCAAAAACTGTCTTCTTTGAATGACTTTTACGTGGAAAGTTTTTAACTGATTCTAAAAATTCTACTTTTATTCTTCAGTGAAATTGCATTCATAAAACGATCCTGACAAAAGAAAAAGAAAAAAAAGCAGATACTACTTCGTTGTTTGAAAAGTTAGGCTTTAGCAAGTAGCCTATGGGCAAAACTGCCACCCCATAGAATGATCCTTTGTTAGTTTTCAGTTGTTTCAAAAGGAAGACGGTCTTTTTAATTTATAGAAGAGAGAATCCGAATCCAGCTAATGGCTCAGATCTACAGTAGTGGCCAAAATTGTGGAAACCTTTTGGGAAAAGTGTATTTTTGAGGTTTGATGGCTAATAACACCACTTTTTTTTGGAGTAATACCATAAAATTATATATCAATGGAAAGATAATTTAATCAAGAATGTAATGCAACATAGTTTGTTCAATTATCTGTACTGTATTCTATGAAAAGTGATAGCCAAATAACCAGAAAAAGGAAGCACAACTTGCTTAGGTTGATATCGGGTAGCTTTCCTTCATCTGATGGTAGCCAATGAGCGTGAGTGTTTAGAGAGCCAATCAGGTGTCCTCTTGTTTGGCAATGAGCCAATCGGATCACAGTAGGAGTCAGTTATTGATGTCATGTATTGAAGCTGAGAGGAAGACATTTGTCAGTGTGTTATGTGATCGCTATCAAGTTGGTTGGGTTTTTTTGTTTGTGTTCTTTCATTTAGTGAGTTTGTAAAATGTAATAAAATTAAAGTAATGGTGCAAAGAGTTGACTGGTTGCCCAGAAAGCGATGTAAAATAGTATTATTAAATGAACAAGGCTACAGTTATAAAGGAATTAGAAGAAAAATGGGTGGAAACTTAACCAAAGGTGGCATTTCTACTGTACACTTTTCCCCAAAAGTTTCCACAATTTTGGCCACTACTGTACATAGGAAAGAAATTCTCACATTTGGGCACTTCTGAAAAATGATTTCAGAAATGGCCAGGCTGAGACAATAGGCTGAGGCAGTTTGCACATGCTGGAATTAAGCCTTAAAAATAGCTTTTAGGAAGCAAAGTGGAATATGCTGTTCTCGGTAGCTTTACGCAAAAAAGATTCTTAAGTGGAGCAGAACTGTACTGCACTGTTAAAAATGTCTTATTTCAAAAATTATATAGATTTCTGGAAAAAAGAGTTGAAGAACAGATGCAATGCAGCTTTCATATATGATAAATTGCATAGTCTTTCTATCGCTAAACAGCTGCTGTAAGCATGCAGTTTGCACGTGCTTTATATTTAATTTTGACAGGTGTTTTTTCTGCAGTGCTAGAACAGAGAACAGTTCTGCAGTAGAATGATGAAAGGGTTAACCCAGAGTAGGCAACCTTGGCTCTTTTATGACTCATGGACTTCAACTCCCAGAATTCCTGAGCCAGGAATTCTGGGAGTTGAAATCCATGAGTCATAAAAGAGCCAAGGTTGCCTACCATGGGTTAACCCAGGGGTAGGCAACCTCGGCTCTTTTATGGCTCATGGACTTCAACTCCCAGAATTCTTGAGCCAGCATAGCTGGCTCAGGAATTCTGGGAGTTGAAGTCCATGAGTCATAAAAGAGCCGAGGTTGCCTACCCCTGGGTTAAGCCATTATGAAACATGAAACATTACAGAACTCTGAATTAGTATGAAATAACAACAGTGTCTTTTCATGCAGAACCTAGTCTTAAAAAGTATTTGAACCCGGTTAATATAAGCAATCCTGGAAAAACTCAGAAATTAAAACAACCGTTATTTTGATTTCTTGAATTTCTTTACCCTTTTATTAATGCATGTTCTCCTGTGGCTGCTGCACACTTTGTGAAGGTCTCCTTGGCTTGGATATTTATTAAATTTTGGACCGTTTTTGGAAGGAATAATTAAATTTGTCCCCTAGTTCAACTAAATGTTTGGGTTAAAATTGAGGTCTTCTTTTTTTTTTTTCCTATCTGTTTGCTACGCTTCTGCAATTTATCTCAGAAGGATTGCAGGAAGAACTTTTGGATATTCTATCCACGAATGAGAAGAACGTGTATTTAAATACATCTTTAATCGGGTTAAAAGTTGCCATTTTTGTTTTACTTTTTGTTTTTGTTTTTGTTTCGTTTTTATTTTTGCAGACAGGCTGGTGGAGAGGAGAACTTCCTTAGATAAACCAGTGGAGTCACAGTCTGCTCCACTCAGCCATCCTTCAGAAGATCCCTTTGGTTCTGTTCCTTTCCTTTCTCGTGCAGGCAAGTCACATAGTATATACCATGACTTTATTTATTTTCATGTAAATGTAGCGGGGCTGTCTGAGAGTGTTTGCAGGAGCTTGGTTGGGAAGGAGGGTATCTCAAATGGAGGAGAGAGAGAGAGAGAGAGAGAGTGGAGTTTTATTGTTTCCTTTGTAAGGAGGATATCTGAAACGGAGGCAAGGGGGAGTGTGTAGAAAGGAGTTGGCTGAGGCTCCTAGCCTCGGATTTTAACAATAAAGATAAAGGGGGGGGGAAGGGCTTTGACGCCGAGACCTGACTGAGAAGAAGCAACAGAAGGAGAGGAGAGACTGGTGGTGGCTACTGTTGCTGCGAAGCCTGGAGGCTATTTGGACTGTGACTATTGTTGCTGGTACAGGTTTTAGACTTTGTGGGGGAGTTGCCCTGGGGGGGCGAGCTATTGCTACAGCACACTGACTGTTGTTGTTTCTACTATCGTCTGGAGCCGGGGTTTTCCTCCATTCCACTTGACTCTGAACGACCGCTGAGGAATCCTTAATTCCTGCTGCTATAACGGCCTTGGGCTGTTGGATATCGTCATAGCATTGACTATCGTGACTGGTTATTTTCGTTCCTGGAAGCCCCTCCTCGATGACAGGAGCCTGCTACCTCCCAATTCTGCATGACCTCCGGCTGGAAGAGACATCTTACCAACCCCTAGAGAACATTACTGCAGGGCTTGACACAGGGGGACGGGGCTGGGAGGGCCTGGGGTTTTTTTTGGCGGCCTCTGAGAAGGTACATAAATATACCTTGACAGAAAGGCAATTGGACTGGCTCAGTGGTATAAATTTTTCCCTGTGATCAAATAGAGCAGTGGTCCCCCAACCGTTTGGGCACCGGGGACCGGTTCCATGGAGAGAGGTTTTTCCGCGGACCGGAGGGGGATGTGGTTTCACGTGCTGCTTGCATCCCGCGGATGGGGCTTTGCTTGTTTGTGTGGACCGGTTGCTGGTATGCCGCGGCCTGGTGCCGGTCCACAGACCGGGGGTTGGGGACCCCTGTATAGCATGGTAAGATGAAGAGATGACTGTATTGGTGGGTTGCCATTTAGTGGCTTTGTTTAAGTTAATTAGCTATTTACTTATACAATCATAGGACTGGAAGGGACCTTGGTGGTCTTCTAATCCAAAGGTCCCCAACCTTTGGATTACATTGTAGCGAATAGAGGAAGCGAAAGCAATAACCCCACAGGCATATCCCCCCTCCCCCTTGGGAGTATGGCAGAACCCAGGGAAAAGTGAGATTTGTTTTTAGATCAGAGGAGATAGATAGAAATGAAATAGAAATGGGTTCTGACACTACCCTTATGAGCCATTTAGTAATTGAGGAGTAGTTAAATACAAACAAAAGCCTACTGGAGAACATATGTAGTTTAAGACATGGTTGTCCAATCTTTTAGCTTGCCAGGACGTGCATTGAGTGAGGAGGAATTAACAGAGTTCCTTTTTTGAAATATGTTTTATGATCTTGTGGGGCTGCATTACTAATTGGTCTGCGGTCCACAGCTGGACACAATGGTTTAAGCCAAAGGTTCTTATACATAAATTGGGGATTATTGTTTATTATTCTATAAAGAGTTCATCCTGAGAGGGATTTTTCCTGTAAAGGCAGGTTTGAAATGCTTGAAATAAATACCAGGGCCTAATACAGGTAATCCTTGACTTAACAACAATTCATTTAATGACCGTCTGAAGTTACAACCACTGGAAAAAGTAACTTAGATGTTTTTCACACTTATGATCGTTGCAGCATCCCCACGGACACATGATCCAAATTCGAATGCTTGGCAAATGGTTCATATTTATGACGATCGCAGCGTCCCCGGGGGCCACGCGATCCCCTTTTGCGGCCTGACAAGCAAAGTCAATGGGGGGGGAGCCAGATTGGCTTAACACCCGTGTTACTAACTTAACACCCACAACGATTCACTTAACAAATGCAGAAGAAAGGTTATCAAATGGGGCAAACTTTATTGCGTCACGTAGCCACATAAATTTTGGGTTCAGTTGTGGTCATACGCTGAGGACTACCCGTCTATAGATTTGCCATTTGAAGTCCATTCCCTGTTTTTAAAAAAAGATACAATTCTCTCTCAAAAAAATTTCTCCTTGATGATTAACAGGTAATTGGGATTGAGAACTCAGAATGGAAAAGATTCCGTAGGGCAGTGATGGCGAACCTTTTAGAGACCGAGTGCCCAAACTGCAACCCCAAACCCACTTATTTATCACAAAGTGCCAGGGCCGCATCAGCACTGTGGTGCCCTCAAGGGAGGCAGGGGGCGTGGCCCACTGGTGGGCGTGGCTGCGGTGGTCACAGCAGACTGAGTGGGGGTGGCTGGAGTGGGCGTGGCCACCTTGATGTTGCTCGTGGGGGGGACACCTGTGGGGGCTGGGCAGGATGGGGGAGATCCAGGGGGTCTCTTGTGGGTGGGGCGGTGGGCAGGAGGCTCGTCCTGCGGGGGGTAGGCGAGGGGTGCCATTGCTGCGGGGCAAGGGGAGGCAGGGGCGGCTGCTGCCTGACACCATCAGCCCCCACACACAGAGGCCAGCGAGCGCATGGGGGCCTGCCAATCACCTCTACTCGAGCTTGCCAGTCAGCTGCTTCGCTTCCTTTGTGCTGGGTGGGGCTGCCACTCCGGGCACCAGCGGTGGCCTAATGGACCTGCGCGAGCTGGCGGCGGTGGTGGCAGATGTTCCCACAGAGAGGGCTCTGAGTGCCACCTCTGGCACGCGTGCCCTAGGTTCGCCATCACTGCCATAGGATATATATTGCAACAAATATAAAGGAAGTGGATGTGTAGAATGAAGGAAATGCAGTTTGACTGTCCCTTAAGTTAAAAACAGCAAGCAAAACTACTAGATCGCCGACATTGTTCAGCGTCTGCCTTTCTGCCTGTTGTTGAAGAAAACTGCAGAGTTAGTTGACATCTTTGCAATCCTCGAACTAACATGTGGCAGATGGCTGTGGAACGATGACAGCAGTATGTTCCCAATTCAGGAGGAGCTTTAAAATGGTTATGCCCAGTTTTGGAAATGACGAACTAGCAGAAGGCATGTCATTACTCCAGTTGTTACAAGCCATTCATCCTCTTATAATCGGATGTCTAGAAAATGAACACAGGGACAGAATTCTTTTTTCTTTCTTTTTTTTTTTTTTTGAAGGTTGGGATCTTATGATTAAAAGATGTTCTACCTGCACTGGATTTGAAGGCAGAATTACAGCCTGGTACAAGAGGCAAGGAGTGATTAGGAGTGATATAATTTGTACATTTTCTTCCGAACAGATGTTATGCTGCTCCGTTCTTAGCTGTTCATAAATTCAGATTTGAAATGTCCATTGGAGCAGTTTTGAGATTACTTCAATCAAATCTTTTTCTACATGTTGCGTATTACAACATTATTATGGCATTAATTTAAAAGTGAATTTGAAATTTCTCTCTCTTGGGCTTCTGGTAAATGTAAGAATATTAAAAGTGGGGGGGGGGGTGACATAGGAAGTTGAATTGGGTTAAGATATAAATTTAGTACCTCTTGTGTACATATATTTAAAGTAGCGTTATGCTAGAACTACTGTTGAGTTAATATCTGGATTCATTTGGACTTAACTGTGTTTTTTTCCCCCCGTCAACCAAATGCTCAATTTTAGAGTAATTTATGAATTACCTGATTTATATGCAGGGCTTTTTTTGAGTCTCTTTTCCACCGCCTTGAGTTTGGACCGGTGCGGGAGTAGTTTGGGATCCTGGCGGGGAAATCTCTTGTCCTTACGTTCATTTTAAACCCTCCCCGATAAAGGCCACGCCCTCCCCGATAAAGGCCACGCCGGCCGGGCCTTTTTCCACGGCCTTGCGCCAAGGCGGCGCAAGGCCGTGAAAAAAAGCCCTGTTTATATGTTATCTCAACCAAGCAAATTTTACATGTAACAAATTATCTTCCTGGTATAAAGGGAAAGTATGTCATCTTGTAAGATAAGCATTTATATATATATGAATTTAGCTGTTTTCAGTTATACAAGTAGAAATATGCCCATATTACCAAGTTTTAAAGTTGGTGTTTAAATAGAAATAATTAGGCTCACTTAAAAAGTGTTTAATTGAAAGAATAATAATCTCTATAAGCAATTTTAGCATATAAGGATACATTGAAATAGATTTCTAAAAGTTCTTCACTATGATTGTTACTTTGGGGAAACTGCATCATATCAAGAAAGCAAATCTGCATATTAATTTGACTATAAAATCCAATGTCTTAAATGTAGCACAACCTATTATAGTATTATGCCTGAAAAGAGTTGCTTATTTTCTCCTTTTTAAAAAAATTGTTGGTTCCCCTCCCTTTGAATTATTTTTATAACTATATTTGTAGGACTGGATTATTACTATTGCAGCCTGCCCCTATTCCTTCCCTCCTGTTTTTGCTAATTACTTCCTCCTTTGAATATTGGTAAAGGACAATTTTTTGTGGTAAAATACATTAGTATTAATTTGTTCTCAGCCAATGTCATAATGCCTATTATGGAGGCTAAAAGAAACTTAAGTTCTAGTTTACATAAAATAACTCTAATGTTGTAAAGGGGGATTTTTTTTTCCTTTTAATGTGAAGCAGTACAGTCTTAGCAGAAAGGGGAAACTAGTAGAAATATGCTTTTTTTCTGAAGAACCCTTGATTAAAAAACACATTTCCTTGATCAGTTACTGGGTGGAGTGAATTTGAATCCCTTTCTTGAATATTTTATGAACAATATTTTTTTCTTGCTCTTTCGTTTTATAAGGCTCTCCTAATAGCACATTACAAAGAGCAGGCTTACAAAATATGCAAGACTGTGCAAAAAAAAAAAAAAAAAGGAAAACAAATGGGAAGGCCGAAGAACGAAAAATGAATATAGATACTGTTTTCTACATTTCACAGGCTAGAAGGAATGGTTAAAATATTTTGCATTGATGATTGTCCAAATAGCTGTCCAGAATGGTATAGGGTTTCCTGCCTGAGCAGGTGGTTGGACTAGATGACCTCCAAGGTCCCTTCCAACTTTATCATCATCATCATCATCATCATCATCATCATCATCATCATCATCATTATTATTATTATTATTATTATTATTATTATTATTATTAATCAGTGACTTATAGGCATGACTAAGGCAGGCTGTAACCACACCAAAGGCAGCAGCTAAGGGTTAAACACGTACTATATATATGTTTGATATTTCTATGGTACATGTGGGTACTAATCTTAGAAAACTGGAGAGTGAAACACGTCTGGAAGGAAATGTAAGCTTCAGACTGTTTAATCTTCAATGGGTGAAAATAAATGGCGCTGGGACGCGGGACAATCCAAACTGGGAAAAACCGTTCATTCAATAATTAGAAACATTTCTAAATAAGCATCTGATCGGGAATGGCATTCCAGCCATAATTAAGTACTGCAGTACGTTTCCTTTCAAAACAGTACAACTTAACTGTATATAAACAGGAAGATAAAAGAATGTGCTGACCTTTATAAAGCAAAATGATTGTTGGTAGGAAGACATCTGTTGATGGTTCGCTATTTAGAGTGAATGTACTAATACTCAGATAGGCCTTTTCTGGCTGTAAGGCTGAAGATGTTAAGAGTCTAGTGCAGTGGTGGCGAACCTATGGCACGGGTGCCAGAGGCGGCACTCAGAGCCCTCTCTGTGGGCACACGCGCCGTCATCCCAGTCCTAGGCCTTCAGCTGAGTTTTATAAAACCTTTTCGCTTTAGGCCTCCGCCGCCGTGTGCAAAAAAAAAAAAAAGGTTCAATCAATCAGTCAATTTCAACTTCTCGCAGGGAAAAAAAAGATCTTGCAAAGTTGGAATTGATTGATTGAACTTTTTAGTCCCACCCAGTCTGCCATTACCACCACAGCCACGCCCACCCAATGGGCCACACCCACCCGGCACTCCACGATGCATAAGTGGGTTTTGGGTTGCAGTTTGGGCACTCGGTCTCTAAAAGGTTCGCCATCACTGGTCTAGTGTCTGCTTTTTGTGAGTCTTAAGAATCGTAGCTTGTCCAGTTGTACAATGTAAAAGAATTATGGATGTGTGTTTGTGGAAGTGGGAAACGTTGATTTGAAATTGAAGTTCTTTTGCCTGTTCTTCATCCTTTCAGGCTCCCCAGGAAATGAAATTAATAACCCAGCCAGCCATCTAGAAAATACATTAGAGAGTCTTTCTAAGTATGAAAGGCCAAGCCAGGTGGTTAAGGACCAGGATGCTGGAAAGAAAGGCACAGAAGCACAGACTAAGAAAGGAAACGATGAATCGGAGAGCGATTTTGAATCAGACCCCCCTTCTCCAAAGAGTAGCGAGGAAGAGGAAGAGCAGGAGGACGAAGAGGTCTTGCAGGGTGAGTCTGGAGACTTCGTTGACGACAACGATACAGAACCAGAAAACTTAGGCCAGCATCCCCTTCTGATGGATTCCGAAGAAGATGGAGAAGATGACGATAAGCACAGTTCTGACTCTGATTCTAACCGTTTTCGGCCTGCAGAAGAGGTACCTTGCAGTAGATTCAGAGACGGGCCTGGCAGTACAGAAAGTAGAGAGACAATCCTTCCCTGTCCTTCATCGACTGAGGTCCCAGCTTCCAGTCGGAGCCCCAAACAAGAATTTGATGTCTTTGGAGCGGTTCCATTCTTCGTTTTGCAGCCCCAAGAACAAAAGGATACGTCTCCCCAAGTTGTCCCCCGTGAGCCAGACCAGGACGACTTCGATGTCTTTACCAAAGCCCCCTTCAGCAGAAGAATATCTCAGCAAGATGAGTCGGTTTCAGGTTCCGAACCTCAAGCGTCTCCCGTCTCCCCCAAAAGCGTGGATGTTTTTGGCTGCCTCCCGTTCCAGCCCGTTTCCCTCCAAAGGCCCGGTGAATCCAGAGAGGATCTGTTCGGCCTCGTCCCGTTTGAGGAGATCACCGGGAGCCAGCAGCAACACAAAGCGAAGCAGCAGCAGCGGAATCTGCAGAAGCTCTCTTCCCGTCAGAGGCGCCTGAAGCAGGAGGGGTCCAAGAGCAACGGCAAGCGCCATCACGGAACCCCCACCAGCACCAAGAAGAACTTGAAGCCCAGCTATCGGACGCCAGAGAGAGCCCGGCGGCACAAAAAAGCCGGCCGCCGAGATTCCCAAAGCAGCAATGAGTTTCTGACCATTTCCGATTCCAAGGAGAACATAAGTATTGCCCTGTCGGAGAGCAAGGACAGAGTCAATCCCCTGCAGGGTGACGACAATCTCCTGGATCTCTTTGGAGCCAAGCCTTTCCATCCAGCAGAAGGGCTGCGTCTCCCCCAACACCAGGGATTGGGTGATAACCGTGGGGATCACAACACAGCAGTTCCCGGGAGACCCAGGCAGAGTTCCTTTCTTGGTAGCATTCATTCCGGCGACGGTGTAAAATTAACGGATGATTTTGGAGCAGTTCCTTTCACCGAACTCGTGCCAAGTGTGACATCTCAACAGAGCCAGCAGCAACAGGCAATAGAGTTAGATCCGTTCGGGGCAGCTCCCTTTCCTTCCAAACAATAGACTCTTTTTAGGAACATCTGAATATTTCTTTTTTTTAAAAAAAAACCTTGGATTTAATACGCCACTGTAATCCATTTACTTCGGTTGAGAAGCAAATGTTTTATTTTTTTATTTTTAAAGTACAACACGCTTACTTCTCTGCGGCGACTCGATGGGATTTTAACCCCGGCAATGTTAAAAGAGACAAGATTGGGATGGATAAAATGGCGGAAGTTTGAATAGAGAAAATCTTTCCGAACGTTAGGTCAGAAGATCACAGAGGATATTATTGGCTATGACTAGAACATTTCAGAATTGCATCCTGCGTAGAGGGCAATTACACTTGAATTAATGGAGAGATGGAAGGATCAGACTGGGTCGACGAAGGAAATAGGATCTTATCCGTCAGAAATCGAGAAAACGTCTAAAAAAAAAAAAGCCAGGTTTATCTAGAACTGCTTCTTTGTACCTCTTCTAAAGGTTTTTAGAAAAAACAACAACACCCTCTTCTTAAATCTCTGAAAATCAGAGCTTGCTGTCTTGATACTGGTTCCTAAACTTACATGAAGAAACCCAAATCTTTCTATCTGCCCGAACTGTGCTTTTTCACAGTAAGTGCCATTAATATAAAACAGGGATTGTTGTAATTCTTAGAATTTCAAGAACTTAGCTGGGGATGTTGGAAGTGGGAGTGGAACGAGAAAGCAGCAGCACTAACAGTTAACTTCTGCAGCACTTTTGAAGATGGCTCATTTGAGAAGAGAGAGCTTGGTTGACTTGCATGCCATACCAACACGTACCGTTTTGGAGAAGATGGGGGAAAACAGCCAGAAAATTGTAGCAAATTCAGACCTCTTAAAAGAGTTTAATCAAGAGTTTTCACCCCATGTCTGCTCACTTTACTGGGGTTTTGTATTTCATATGAACTGTATATACCCCGAAAGGTTTTTAGCCTTCTAAAATGGTTCTCACCTAATTTTTTGAATGCTTTCTGTATTACATGATTGTACTTTTCTAAGACTTCATACAAAACACACCGATCAGTTTCCAACAAAAAGGAGGTTTAGAATTGAAGGCTTAAAAATGATGCTGTTTTGAGTCTCTTACTATTAACTGCATAGTAAAAACCAGCAATGCCTTAACAGCCAGGACCATGTCCTGATATAATTTTACCTCTGAGCCAATTGGTGCCCTTGAGACACAGATTGTAACATTTGGAGAACTTAGGTGAGTAGACAGTACATTTTTGAACTTTCAATCCGAGGAAAGGAATTCCGAATGTCGTCATTCGCTGTTGATCGTTCTAGAGCGGCGACGTTTGTTCAAAATAGCAATTTGATGTCCTGCAATTCCCTTTCAGTTTTGTGAAAATGGGTGTCTTTGAAAAAGGACATCGTAAACAGTTTTGTCACAAAGAATGGCCAGGATCCAGAGAACGTGGCAGTATCTTTTTGGAGTACAGGTGTGTGTGTGTATGTGTGTGTGCATGAATCAGAAATGTTAAACATATAGCAGAAGTTGATGTTTGCTCCCACGACAAAAAGCAATCCATTCTTAAAAAGTGAAACGTTTCAAAAACCATTTCTGTCGTTAAGTGAATGAAGATTGACATCTCAGGATCCTTGCACAGGTATTCACACATAGATGAATTTCAACTGTAGAAGCTACATGACCTTAACTATAGATGTGTCTGGGTATCATTTACATAGTTTGAATATCATTGTGGGGAAAAAAAAGAGATTTCCAAGGGGGAATCATTGGATGAAGTTCCTTAAAAGATAACAAGTAGTGGCTTTGGCCATCCAGTTACTGTGTTAAAACATGAAGAAAACAGAGTAACTTTTGGATAATTTTTGAATATAATAAATATGAAAAGATAAAGGTTCAAGAGCCGTAAACATACTTCAAAGTTGTTGCTTTTTTTAAAAAAAAATGTCATTTAGTCATTCTTAAAAGATATGCTTTCACGTTCTTGCTAAATTTGCTTCTAAATGTGCAGTCCATCTCTTCGCACGATATGAAATCGAAAGCCCCCCCCCCAAAATTAGAAGTCTGGCTCGCTACACAAAATATTGTGTAAAATATTTCTCAGAAGACTTGTTCCTTTGTGCCAAAGCCTCAGATGTAAGGTGTGTTGTAAAATAACTCTCTTTCCAAATAGCTCTCACTTCAATCATGGCAGACTTCCTAGCAAAATCAAGTCATTAAGGACCTGCTAATTAAATGTACTGTGTTTGGTTTTCACATTGGAAGGCTTTCTGTCTTGGAGACATGTCAGTACGGGTTGGAGTCCCAGAATGAACGGAGAGCTGATTTGAATTAGGGTCTCCGTGTGATAACCTCATTTTATTTGAAAAGATGTATGTGCTTCAGGTGGTATAAAAGGAATGCAATAATTTGGATTCCTGACCCCCAAAGTTGCCATGCTGACACTTACTAAAATTAATGGGACAAAAAGTAATTTGCAGCTAATATGCCTAATTAGTTTGATAATGTATATTTTTTTTGCCTCACAATGTTATCTGCGTGATTACACCTGACGGCTGATATTTTTTTTTTATATCTCCACCCAAACTCTTTTCATCAGAAAATCCTGATGAAATCAGATTGCTGTAAGTTCTTTCTAGTAAGCAGTTTAACATGATGATGATGATGATATATTTGCCATGAGAAATGACATTTAGAGTAATTGAGTCACTCCCTTTTCTGTCTTCAGGATCCTAAATTGTGGCTTTGATTTGCCAGAAGGATATCCTTTGTAGCAATTATGGTTAGTTTTATTCTGTGCTTTTGTATGGGCATATGAACTTAACACTATATGGATGTATGAATTCCTGTACTTAATGACCAAAAATGGCACCAATCTATTTAGGGATGGGAAGAGCTGAAATAGCACAACTTCGTGATTTGCATCTGTTTATATATATTTCTCAGATAATTCTTCCCCAAACTGATCTGGGCTAGAAAATGCATAAAGTTGTCTTGGCCATCATCTCTGATTGCTAGGACAGATTTTCCATCGGAGAACTTTGGGGTACACCTACGTGGCTCCAGCTGTATAATTGGTAGATATGGATGAACAGGTGAGATAAAAGAAATATATATCTTGCTCTGCAGGGCTGGGCTTGAAGATAACCTTGCGTAAATCACGGCCATTCCTAGTTTCACCAGCTTTTTTTTTGCTTTTGAATAAGCTCTTGCATCTCCCTGCTTTCTGCACCTTTGATCAATCAGACTTTTAAAAGAATTTCATTTCCTAGATTATTGTAAATGAGATTTGTACACCGATTTTTTTGTGTTGTGTGCCTTTGGTGGCTGAACTGGGTGAGCTATTGGTAGTTCCCATAAAGTTGATTTCTACTTAATTTTCTTTGCCAAGTAAGTTTAATCATTGAATTCTGTGCTCCACTGAGAAAGGTGTTTATTTTCTTTGGGGGGGTTGGGATAGCCATGCTTGCTTGATGGATGTATTTATCCATATATCTGAAGTTCATTCTGTTTTGGTCTTTCCTCCAGTCGTAAGAAGATTGAGAGGTATTAATTCAGAACTGGAGATGGTTATCCAGTTTCCATGTTCATGAAATGATTAAACCTTTTCGTTACTGTATAGGGCAGTGATGGCGAACCTATGGCACGCGTGCCAGAGGCGGCACTCGGAGCCCTCTCTGTGGGCACATGCGCCATTGCCCCAGCCCCACCTCCCTCCACAGCCCCCCTCACCAGCCCCCCCAGGGGAGAGTCTCCCCCAGGCATGGCCCACGCAGAGCAGCGCAGCCAAGGACATAGCCGGGCAGCAGGGACAAGACTCCACCCTTGCGCCCCATCGCATGCAGATGATGCTGCAGGGTGCGGGTGGAGGGCGTGGCTGCCATAGCATTGCAAGGCCGCCTGGGCGATTTGCTGCAGCGGGCCGTGGAGGCGATGAGTGGCCCTGCAGGTGGGCGGGGTGGGGGCGGAGCACGGACGGGCTGCGGGGTGGGGCGGTTTTGGGGCACTCGGTCTCTAAAAGGTTCACCATCACTGGTATAGGGAAATCTGAGCCTTTTACTAATCAGCTGTACACTTCATTCTGGAGGCTATACAGCTTTGGACAGAATAATTGACTGATAAAATTACGGTACTGTTTATGTTTAATTTGAAAGTATAATTTCTATCTATGAGGTCAAAGATAGAAATCAAGGTGCTTTAGGGGGAAATGTCACTTACCCCCTTATATGACTGCATTTGTTACCTAAATGTGTTCAGAAGGTACAAGTTTTGAGCTTTGTAACGTGAGACTGAATCTCTCGCCACAAATCTTGTAGATTGAAAATATCCATTCGAGGCTACTTCCCTGGTGTGTTCCACCCAGATATACTCTTTGAAGATGATCCTGCAACAATAAAATTCAGTAGCAAGCACCCAGGGCTGCCCAGAAGTCCTCAAGTTTTCTCCTAACAATAAGAAGAAGAAGAAAAAAAAATCTACTGTGAGAATAAAAGGAGATAGCTACTACTGTGAGAGAATAGCAATTAGAGTTTATCAGAATATTTTTGTATATGATAGTGTATTTTTATAGACAGATGTATATAAAGCATACACACGCACACATCGCGTTGTCTCTTGGGAGTCTGTGATTTTAAATATAGCATTGCAGTCACAATCATTTTCTCGGCATTGGAAAACGAAACGGAGGCAAAAGCTGCTAAAAAAGAATAATAAGGAAATGCAAAAACAATGTCTGTCTGGTTATTTTTCTAGAGCAGTGGTTCTCAACCTTTTTAATGCCGCGACCCCCAACCGGTCGTAAGTCGAGGACTAAACCGGTCGTAAGTCGAGGACTACCCAACCGGTCATAAGTCGAGGACTTTCCCTGCCCGGGAGCACCGCGCATGTGTGGTTCCACCCCCTGCACTGGCCGAGGTGTAGCTGGCAAGCGGCAGAGACGGAGCAGGCCGACCACCAGCTGGCCCAGCCCAAGGGAAGTAAGGCGCCCGCCGGAAAAGGGGAAAAAATGGCGGACAACCTTGCTTGGCGACCCCCGTGAAATGGTTGATCGACCCCAAATGGGGTCGCGACCCATAGGTTGAGAACCGCTGTTCTAGAGCGCTTTGAAGAGAAATATTGTAAACCATTGCCAATGTTAAGTTTCTGGGGTAAGAACATCACTTAAGAATAAAACGACAACGTTACTTACATTCTACTTGCTGGCAAACAGCGTCAAGTGCACTTTTAAAAATTACACTTCCATTTCTTCTTTTTTCTCTTTTTTTTTTTGTTAGACTTGAAATTTCTAAAGCGTTGTGCGGTGTGTATGTGTGCATGTATGTGTGTGGGTAACCACTAATAACAGATCTTTTTGTGCAAAAACGATGTGCGTAAAAGAACTTCCAGTCGTTAAAAGTCAACCAGATGTTTCTGTAACACCAACCACTGTG